GCCGCCGGCGGTAGGTGCAGGCCGGGGCGGCAAGGCGGGGGGAACCGGGGGGAAGCGCGGCCGCGCCGCTAACACCCGCCTCTTCCCCGCAGGACGACGGAGAAGGAGCCGGAGGGCGCCCGTGGGACCGAGGCACCCTCGGGGGCCGTGGAGCAGCGCTGAGCGGGCGGAGGAGCAGGGCTGCTGGACAGCGGGTGCCGGGACAGCCGGGCTCTCCGAGGACACTAAGTGTACCGCACAGGGTGCAGCGGTTAATAAAAGGTGGACGGCGGTGGCTGGGTGAGGCTCTGGTTGTGTCCTGCCAACCCCTGGCCTTCCCCCAGGGCGGCAGGACCTTGGTCCAGGCCGTTGCACTGGACCTGGGGCAAGGGGAACATGCCCGACCCGCTCTGGGCTGCTGCAGAGACACGGAGGCAGCCGGCTGAACGGCAGCTCTGTTATTCAGACAGTTGCATGGTTTAAATACATTACATACATTTCTACAGTGCATTAGAACAATACATTTTGGGTCACTCGGAGATGCAGCTGGGCCTGACCGGGGAGCTGGGGTCGCACTGCTGCCCGCCCTCTGCTTGCGCAGCCAGTGCTGAGCCCCCTCCCCGCGCAGGAGGCAAGGGAGCTGCTCTCCCCTCCCAGGCTCAAGCAGCAGAGCCCCGACCTGCCTTCATTCCCCCCCACCCCCCAAAGATGGGCTAACAGGACAGCGAGACCCAACACCGGCTTTCCCCAGCAGCAGGAGAAGCCGCAGCTCAAGGCAAGCGGATGCAGGCAGCAGCCCTGGTACCGTTTTATACAACACAAGCTCAGCAGCTTCTGGGGAGAGAAGGGCTCACTGCCTCACCCACCCACAGCAGGCCTGTGAGATTGTCAGCACCGGGGCAGCCAGGAGCCCATGCTGGCCCCCCCGCGCTCCCATCACACCTCCCACCCGTGCAGAAGAGCCCCGCCGGCCCTTCCCCAGAAGCCCCCTGCCCCTCGAGGGGGCCCTAGGCACAGAAAAAGCTGGCACCATGCTGGCTGCACAGCAGCCAGGGAGCTTGCTGGGAGCAGGGGCAAAAGCCAAGCAAGAGCAGCAGTGGAGACCTGGCAGGAGGGCTGGACTGGGGCAGCAGAGGGGGAGAAGGCGCTCGTACCCACCCTCAGCCCTCTCCAGCTGGGGGGCATGAAGCTACAGCCCCTCCCAGAGCCGCCTGCTCTTCACAAGGACACGCCAGCACCTCTTTCCCCTTAGTGTCTAACTGCACCCAAGCCAGCCCTGTGAGTTGTCCCTCGTACGTCCCCTCCTCAAGCCCCCAGCCAGAGAACAGCCGTTCATTGCGGTCCCCGCTGCGCCAGCGGGCAGCAGGAACTCCCCCTGAGGAAAGCAGCGTGCACGGGGTTGGGGCAGAGGAGGGACAGTGGAGGAGTACAGCACTCCCTTGGGGAAAGGGAGGGGGTGTAACCTGCTACAGGCCTTCCCAGCTCGACAGCCGGCACGGCAGGGAAGAAAAGGGCCAGTGGCTGGTGTAAAGGGCTGGACGGATCCTGGCCCGGGCAGCCTGCTCATCCCAGCCCCAAGCAGGGGTGCTCAGAACTGCATGCAGGCCAAGGGAGGGAGGCAGGGGCAGGGTCCCAGCCACACCACGGCTCCCAGGGGATTCCCACACATCCCCCTGGGCTCTGCCCCAGGCAGGGCACTGAGCTCCAACGGAGCTGGGGAGGGACCATGCCCGACCTGCCTGGCTCCTCCAGTTCAGCTGCAGGTTCCTCCAGCCGCACCTGCTCGCTCTACCCAGAAGGTTGAGTCCCAGCCACAGGAGCTGGCGGTGGCCCGGCTCCTCTCGCAGTGCTAGTCCGAGGCGGCCAAGCCCTGCCCGCGGCTCCCACAGCTACCACCATGAGAAGAAAGGCTTCCGGCTCTGGAAGCTCTGCGTGTAGGACTCGCTGGAGGTGCGCTGGTGGGAACGTGCCGTTTCCACAATCACAGGTGGCATCTGAACCAGGTGCAGGGGGCTCTTCCCGTCTTTCAGCGCCTGAGTCAGGTTCAGGATCTGTATGGCACAAGAGAGCAATGCTGGAGCTGCCCCGCCGGAGCAACAGAGCATCCACCCCAGCACCCTTCCTGCCCCACAGGGACGAGGCTCCATACCTCACCCATCTGCTTTACCTACACACAGCTGATGACCTCTCATGACAGCAATCTGCTTGTGAAACTGTCCCCTGTCAAAGCCAGGGTCTTTCTGAAAGAGAGAGCAGAAAACACAGTGGGATTCACCCAGAGATGCCTGTTCCCCAAGCAAGCCTCTCTCCTCCCTGTCCCACGCGTTTCCTGCCTCTCCCCACACTGAATCTTCAGCTCCTGGTAGAGAGATAATCCTGCTATGCCTCAGTCTAGAAACACTGTCAGGAGCTTGGCCACCTTTCTGTCCCCTGCAGCCTTGACAGGGAGCTCCCCAACGCCACCCCCGCTTTTCTTTCTCCCAAGCCATCCTTGCCCGCTCCCCCAGCTCACCTTGAAGAGCTCATACAGATCTTCCTCCAGGTCCTTCACAAAGTTGGGGTCCGAGATCTTGGGAAGAATCAGGTCCTTGATCTCCTGTGAAAAGGGGATTTTGGCCTGGGGCAGCCATGCCCAGTAGAACGGATCTGTGGGAGGAAGCAGGAGAAATTAAGAGCTGGGGAAGGCAAAGCATGGTGCCATATACCCCTGGGTGCCAGATCACCTGCGTCTGGGACACAGGGTCCAGCACCCACTTCCTACAGCCTCTGCTGAGGCGGAGCTGCCCATGAACCCAGAAGGTTTGCAGAGGGACAGCCCTAGCCCTCTCCTCTCCAGCCCTTGAAGAAGATGCCTGAGTGTGGAGTTGTATGGCTCGCCAGGGTGCCCTGGCACAGCCTGAGGGACTCACATGCTCTCCAGGAGTCCGGATGTTTCAAGGGAAAAGCCAAACCGTTGTCTATAGCAGCCAGCTTGATGATGGGTTCCTTCACCACCACCCAGTCGCTGTCCTGGAAGGAAGCAGAGCATGTCACAAGGAGCCCCCCCCAGCAGGAACAGTCCCTCTCCCACTCCCTGCAGCCCCACTGCCAGGACCTTTGCCCTGGCTACCACAGAGGCACAGCAGTCTCTCACCCACAGTGTGGCCCCTTGCCCGCAGGGAAACACTGCCTGCTTCAGGTGGGAAGGGGACAAAGCTGCTCCCCTCCCCAGGCCTCACCTCAGGGATGCACAGGTCCAGCAACACCAGTTTTCCCCACAGAGCCCTGATGCATCCTCACAAAATCCCACTAGGCCACAAACCACCAACAGAGAGGGCAATGAAAAGCCCAGGAGACAAGATCAGGCCTCCACACGCTCGGAAACCCAAGCCAGCTGGGAAATCCCCGGCCCGCCTGCCAGGCGGGCAGCTTGCAGGAGCAGAGCCCCCCACAGAACCCCTGCCCGGGAAGAGCCGCTCACCCGCACGCCCGCGCTGTCCAGGGGACAGTCATACTTGATGAGCCAGTTGTCATTG